AGTCAACCCTGAGCCGGTGAGATTTGAACCGCTGACCTACTGATCTAGCAGTAGCCTGCAGTGCTGCATTTAACCACTGCGCCACCTTGGCTCTCGTCCACAGAACCGCTCGACTCCAGATCCCAGCGGCACTCACCCATGGGTTCCTCCAGGGCCAGCAGCTTCTTGCCCAGGGCCACGGTGCCCCCGCAGCCCCGCTCGGACCGGCCATCCAGACACTCTTCCACGCTGAGCAGAAAGCCCTGGCGGGACAGAAGGCTTGTCTATCACAAAGGGATTTTGTGTGGGCACAAATGAAGGTGCGCTAGCTTCATCCCGGCTGAAGTCCTTCCCCATGCAGGGGGGGCACCTCGGAACTTACCAGGCTGAGCGAGGGCATCAGGAAGCTCTCAGCCTCGTGGTTATGGGCCCGCTTGGCGGGGCTGGTCTCTAGGAAGAGATCCCTCTCGTCATCCAGGCTAATCTCCCGACTCCTGTTGGGGGAACGGAGGAAAACTTGAGCCAAAGACGGGTTCAAACTGAGGTGGGGGGGTGGGGGGGGGCTGTGCCACACGATCCAGAGATGGGCTTCTCTGAACACAAAATGGCCAATGAAAGGCACGTGTTTTAGACGGATGTTTCTCAACCTCGGTGACTTTTTAGATGGCTGAACTTCAACTCCCAGAATTCCCCAGGGCTGGCTGGGTAATTCTGGGAGTTGAAGTCGACCCATCTTAAAAGTGGCCGAGGTTGAGAAACACTGCTTTCAATGATGAGAAGATGAAAGAATTATTGCCCCCATTCCTCAAAACAATTTCAATTTTAACTTCTAATTTGAACAAGTACCGTATTTTTCGGAGTATAAGACGCACCAAGATTTTGAAGAGGTAAATTTTGAAAAAAAAAAAAAAGTTTTGGCACTCTGCAGACCTCCCAAACCCTCTGCACGACTCATTTTTTTGTGACAAACCGGGCATGCAGAGAGTTTGAGAGGCGTGCAAAGTACTCCTTGGGGCTGGGAAGGGGAGGAGGCACAAATGAGCAATAAACGGCCCGTTTTTCACTAATTTTTGCCCTCCCCATCCCCCAGGACCACTTAGCAGGCCTCCCAAACCTTCTGCATGTTCATTTTTGCAGAGGGGTGGGGTTTCAGGAGGCCAAAAATGCTGTATTCAGTGTATAAGACACACCCAGATTTTTCACCCCTCTTTTTTGGGGGAAAAGATGCGTCTTATACTCCGAAAAATATGGTAAGCAGGGCCGGAGTTTCCTATAGGCTAACTAGGCTTCAGCCTAGGGCCTCAAGATCAAGAGGGGCCTACATTCA